TTAATAATATTATTATTTTTTATTATTTGTAATATTATTATATTTTCCTAATATTATTATTATTGTTATTATATTTTCTTCTCAGATTGAATGTATGTAATGTAATCCTGCATATTGGCCACTAGATGGAGCTGTGGCGCATCAGAGTTAAGTATTTCTTTCCTGTGCTCTTCAGCTCCATCTAGAGGCCAAAATACAGTATTGCCGTGTCAGATATCAGAAAAGTATTTCCTATGTTCCTCAGCTCCATCTACATCAGGGGCGTTCCGAGGAAGGGCGTCACCCGGAGCGGAGACCGGGTGACACCCCGCAGTGATGTCATTGCGCATGCGCATGATGTCAACACGCGCGTGTGCGATGATGTCATCGCGCAGGCGCGGTCATCTAATTGACGCGGTGATCTAATTAAGAGAGAGGAGGAACCGTTCACCCGGCGGGATGAGGTCCTCCTCTCTCCTGACACTGTCAGGCTCTCGGTGCATGACTCTCGGACCATCAGTCACCTGAAAGTCCTTTGAATTCACTTAAATTGTTTGCATTTTACATTTGAGGGCCAAATGCCTCACATACCTGATGCAGTGAGCTGCGGTCAACACCCATTCGCTGGAGATCAGAGATCCACCGCAGGTGTGGTACCATAATCCCCCCGAGGTGTACTGCAGTGACACCTGTTGGAAACATAAGTGCTCAGTGATATAAATAATACACATATGAGGAGAAAGACAGCAAAAATAAGCCATATACAGAGATTACTGGAACATAGAAAGAAACAAGAAAGCCCGACCTTATACATGACCTATGATCACACCAAAAATCAGACTTGCGATACCGTGCCCTTTATGTGCACTAATTTCCCAAGCTCCTCAGCTCCATCTAGTGGCCACTTTGTATTATTACAACACACAACATTCAAACTGGGAACATTTATATTAAGGACATTGGTTTTAAGAATTATTACTCCAAAATGAATGTTCGAAGATATTCACAGGGCCCTTGTTTATAAATAGACCCCCCTAAAATTCAGATTCAGCTCAGGACATCCAAATTCACAAAATTCAATTCAAATCTAACTCCATCCAAATTTCGGGATCAACGCTACTAACTGTGAACTTTTACACCTTTCTAGATACACATTATGTTAATATAGAAAGCAAAAAATTGTATCGTTTGTAGGGATGCACCGATACCGGTTTTTCGGTATCGAGTACGAATAACGATACCGGAAGTCCCATCAAGGAAGGTGGGCGGCATGTAAATATTCGCCACCCGTCTTCCCGAATATCAGCGAAGCCGTCTCCATGCACCGTCATCAGGTGACCAGGAAGCATGGAGCCGGCTTTCTGGCCAATCAGGAAGCCGGGCATCGTGTAATGACTCGTTGCCCGGCTTCTTGATTGGTCGAGAAGCTGGGCAATCAGGAAACCGGGCAACGAGTCATTACATGGCGCCCGGCTTCCTGATTGTCAGGGAAGCCGGCTTCATGCTCCCTCGTCACCAGGTGATGAGGGAAAAAAGCTGGCTTCCCGGCCAATCAGGAAGCCGGGCAGCATGTAATGACTCGCTGCCCGGCTTCCTGATACCGGAAGCTCAAGTATCGGGCTGGGCATCAGATCATTTGGGCGAGTACAAGTACTTGCCCAAATACTCGGCATCGGCACCGATACTAGTATCGGTATCGGTGCATCCCTAATGGTTTGTAATGTACAGGGGGGAAGATGTACCGGCTCATTACATAAACAGGATCTGCTTCCTGCTTAGTATTACTGGACAGTGATTTGGGTTTAATCTCTCCAATTAAAGTGTATGCAATGTAAAGCCAAAACATTTTTTTGGTGTTGGATGGAGTAGGGAAGGGCTGGGGAGATTTCCCTTCCCTTCCTGTGCCGAAGATGCAACAGGAAATGAGAGGAAATAAAAAAAAAATGAAGGAAGTTCTCTTCTTAGTTGTCCCCTCCCCTCCTGTTGTGATGCTATTTGTTACCTTTTTTGTTTTCCCCTCACTTAGCTGAGAATGGTCACCAGGACAAAAAGAGGGGCGGCTCTAGCCAAAGAGGACACCGCCAGCTTTAAAAACCTGACAGGAGTTCTAATCCCTCCCTGCTCCCCCCAAAACTGGCTATGGATACACCGTAGGCGAATATGTTTTGTAGCAAATGAAATGTAACAAACATTTGTACCTATTTCCTTTTATGACCCTCAAAGCCCCATTAATAGAATCCCTGGGTATGTATACAATGTGTAGATCCGCTGCTTACCTGCCAAGGCCAACTGTTTGGCACGGCGTCCACGCCGTTTACCACCCTCGATGCGGCTGGCTTGTAGGCGGGAACGCCACAGCCGTACGCTAAATCAAAGAATAAAGGCAAAAATCAGCCCCACAGGTAGCAACATGGTTACAGAGATGAGTGGTCCAGGTTGGTGGTGGAGTCATTGATGGGAAAACATTCAGGTCCGAGTCTGAATATAGGTGTGGAAGCAACTCGTACTGCAGTATACGACTCTGTGATATATATATATACTGCCATAACAGCCATAACATTAGAGTATGATCATCACCCACCTAATATTGAGTAGGTCCCCCTTTTCCTGACCTGATGAAGCATGGACTGCACTAGACCTCTGAAGGTATGATGTGGTATCTGGCTCTGAGCCATCAGTAGCAGATGCTTTAACGTGACACTAAACTCAGGAGTTAAACCTTAAAAATACATTCAAAGGACCCTTACTATGAACAACAATGTATCTTATTTGTGTATCACTCGACTGTAGAACCTCCAATCATCTCTGGATTGGTGCTGACACTGTCCTTCCTTCTGGTGGGGGGCTACTTGTGTTTCCCATGGTCCCTGCGTGTGTTGTAGTCACCGCTCCAAGTTCGCTCCCGAGATGGACTACAATCTCAATACAAATGAGTAAACTAAACGTGAGATTGTAGTCCATCCCGGGAGCGAGATTGGAGCGGTGACTACTTTACAACACACACAGGGACCATGGGGAAGAAAAGTAGCCCCCCTCCAGAAGGAAGGACAGTGTCAGCATGAAGTCAGAGATGATTGGAGGATCTACAGCCGAGTGATACACAAATAAGATACATTGTTGTTCAGAGTTAGGGTCCTTTGAATGTATTTTTAAGATTTAACTGCTGAGTTTAGTGTCACTTTAAGATAAGAGCAGATACGGTCTTCAGAATTGTGCGGTTGCACGGAAGCCAGAGACAATGCATTGGAAGCCTTATCACTTGAGGTGATTGGACATCACTAGTGGGACTTATCAAACCATAATCAAAAAAAACCCCAAGAGATAGAGAGGGGGGAGAGGGAGAGAGGGCAGAGAGGAGAGAGGGGGAGAAGGGAGAGAGGAGA